GATCAACGACGACTACTGCGACTGCCTCGAAGACGGCCTCGACGAAGCCGGAACAAGCGCCTGCTCCCACATCATGCCCGTGGTTGAGTATACGTGCAAGGACGCGGCAAAGGTTCCAACGACCGTCGTACGGGATGGCGTCTGCGACTGCAGCCTCTGCGAAGACGAACATTAGACTTTGGTCGTTCCTATGCGATCTCTCTACTGTCAACGCAATCTACCTCGGCTCGTCGACCAACCTACCTCACTAAGCGGACATGAACGATGAAGATACAACTGACGATGACGACAACTTAGTTGTGGGTCAGCACCATCTTGATGCTGCTGTCTTGGGCGTGGCCCTCAGGCGCCTTGGGCTGGAACTTGCACTTGAGGAAGAGCTTGTACGCCGGCTCGTCCACATTGTTGCGGACGCTTGCGACGATCGCAAACACATCCCGCCCGACCTCGGCCGACGTCGTTGCAATGTCCTACACACCGTGCCATTTGCATTTCCAAGGGCAAGGCGACGATGGGGCGTGCCTGGATGATGTACTCGAGCATCTTGGTGCCATGGCCCAGCCGGCGATGGGTGTCGAGAAGGCCAAACTTCTCGATGAGCGCGACCTCGACGCCATTGTCGTACGTAAAGCTCCAGCGCGCCGTGCCCACGGGCGCATCGCCGACTGCGTCACATGAGCGCCGTATAGATCATCGTCATTGTCGCGCACCAAAGATGAGGATGTGCTTGCACGCGTTCGTGACGTCGAGGTTGTCGAAGAGCGGCGCCCCAAACATGGCTGTCGGCAGCGCAAAGATCTGTTCGCGCAAGAGGCGGCTAAAGCTCCAGTCGCCGAGAATCGGGCTCGCATGCACGTCGATGCGGAAGGCGCGCAACGACACTTGGTTGATGGGCGCATTCTTCTGCAATGCAGCATGAGCCTCTCGCCATCCTGAGGGATCCTGGGACGTACCTTGAGCAGCATTAGCACCTTGCACTTGCCAATGTGGCCGCAGATCGGACACTTGACGCCCTACGCGGAGGACGATGCATGAGCCATCCTCATCCGCATGGACCGTCGTCCGGCCTACTTGCTCGTGCTCATGGTTGCACACTCGACACAAGTTGCTGCTCATGCTTTCGACCTCTCTCGTTGCGACGCCGTCTATTGCGATCCCGGACCTCGTTAAAAGGCGCGTTTCGACGGAATCGCCCTCGTTACAAGTACATCTGCCGCCTCGCAGACATGCCGCATTTAATGGGAAGATGCCGAATGCACACGATAAATTCGGCATGCTTGTTCATGGTGCATGGAGAGCTCGGGAGCATGGAGGAATATGAAGGAAGATGGAGGAAGGGAGCGTCATGGAGGAAGAGGGAGGCGCCATGCAGGAAGCGGCCGCCAAGCCAGCCGGACGACGTGAGGTAGAGGTCAAATTTCATACATTCAAATACTTGGGGTGGGGATCTAATGCGAGGGGTGGTAGCTTTACTTAGTTTTGCGCTTCGAGCTTCGCCGGGCGACGGGCTCGTCCGCGGGCGCTTCCTTGGCCGGGCGCTTGCGGGACGCCGGCGCAGCCACCTTGGCGGCCACGGGCGCGCTGTTGCGCGTCGACCGGCGGCGCGACGGAGCAACGACCTCGACAACCTCGGGCTCTTCCTCTTCCTCCTCTTCTTCCTCCTCCTCTTCTTCCTCTTCCTCGGCGTCATCGTCATCGTCATCGTCGCCTTCTTCCTCATCTTCATCTTCATCGTCCGAGGCAGCCTCTTCGAGGACGAGCGTGCCCATGACGTTGTCGTACTCGGTCGTGTCGCCCGTCGTGTGGTTGGAGGCCTGCGCCTTGAACGTCAAGAAGGACGAGTGGCGGGCGGCCGGGTTGGACGCGTAGAGCGCGGCCTCGTGCGCCGCCAGCGCCTTGGTATCAATCTTGGCAAACCACTTGGGCATGTCAAAGCGCGACTTGGAGTTGGTCGGCGCGAGCGTCATGGTCGCGACCGAGCCGTCGACGAGCGTCTGGAGGAAGGTGCGCGCGGCGAGGAGAATGTCGGCATCGCCGCCCTTGCGCGTCATCTGCTTTTTCTGTGCAAACTTCTTGAGGAAGTCTTCCGTCGACTTGAAGAGCGGGACATTGAGCGACTGCATCGCGTTGACCATCTCGCCGCGGTTGAGGACCGACTCGACAGCCGGCACCGGGTCGAGCGAGTACTCGGCGCCGAGGCCATGGCGCATGATGACCGAGGTCGGATCGCTCAGGTCCGTGTCGAGCGCCGGCGTGTCGATGATCGTAATGTGCTCGCCAATCTGCGCGTCGGCCGCCACCTTGGTCGTGCGCGCTAGAGGAGCAAGAGAAGCATCAGATGAGGATGCTCATGCCAAGCAGCGAGAACATACGGAAGAAGGACGTGGTCTGGAGGTTCTTGCGCTTGAGTGCGTTGAAGAGCGACGACTTGCCGACGTTCGGGTACCCAACGAGCGCGACGTTGACCTTCTCGGCCTTCTTGGCCTTGACGTACTCGTGCAGAAAGTGCGTGAGCGCATCGACGTGGCCATTGTCACGAAGACCGTCGACGTCTTGCGAGCGGGCGTGGAGGGCCGCGTGCGCGCGCTCCGACTTGTTGTGCTTGGTGGCTTCCTTGAACGTCTTGTTGGCGGCGCGCACCGCGACTGTCGGGTGGAAGCGGCGAAGGTACGTGACCCACTTCTCGGCCGTGTCGCGCGAGATCAAATCGACCTTGTTGAGCACGAGGAGGATATCCTTCTTGGCCGTGCCGACGAGGCCGTCTTCGAGCGAGAGCGACCGGCAGCCCTGCGGGTCGCGCGCGTCGAGCACAATCACAATCAGGTCGGCGTGCGTCACGACGTTCTTGAGGTCCTCCTTCGCCTGCTGCTTGACGGTGAGCGACGTCGCGGCCGGGATCTGCGCGAGCGCGTTGATCGTGGCCTTGTCGGCCTTCTTCTTCTCGGCTTTTTCCTTGCGGCGCAGCTCCTTGAGGCGCTCTTGGTTGGCAATCTCGGCGAGGCGCGCCTGCTCTTCCTGCAGCAAGAGCTCCTCCTTGAAGGGCCAGTTGTTGGGAATGCCCGGGCTCTTCTTCTTCTTGCCGGCGCCGGTCCGCTCCTTCTTGCGCTCCTTGCGCTCGTGCTCGCGGACCTTGCGCAGGATCTTGTACTTCTTGTGCAAGGTCAGGCGCTTGGACTTGGTCTTCTTCTTCACCATCTTGCTACTATAATGGGTTGTGAGCCACCACCAGTTCTTTAAGGCAAAGTGGATCCTCGCGTGTGATTGGCCATTTCTACGCCAATCGTTGGCTCGCGCCTGTTGATTGGTCCATAGATATATAATATTGTTTGCTGGAGAAAGGCCATCCCGCAAAGCGACCGCCGACCATGCGCCTCTTGACCCACAACATGCTCACGTGCAACATCAAGGCGTGCGTCGCGACTGCCCGCATTGACCCGAATGCGCCGCCCGCCAACTTTCCTCTGCGGGTACGAAGCAATATGCATGCGTAGAAGAGAGACTCGTAGGTATCTGACGGACGACGATTCTAGATTGACGCGGCCGAAAATGGCATTGCGGTGTCCGAGACGCAGTACTCCAAGGACTTTATGCGCCACATCTTCAAGTCCATTGACTGGCGGGGCCTTTGTACGACGGTCCAGCAGGTATTACGCCCCTCGAGCGAAACGATGGCGGCAATCCAAGTTTTGATGCGACTAGCTCAACCACCCGGAGCTGCCGTCGCTGCCGACGACGCTGCCGGCCAACTACGAAGACGACGAGGACCTCCTTCGCGCCGTGCACCACATCATTTTTGGCGTACGTCTAGGATTGGATTGACGAAGACGCAATAATGCGCGCTCTGTCAATAGGCCGAGATCATCGAAGGCGAGCTCGTGTGCAACAACTGCGGCCGCAGCTACCCGATCTCGGGCGGCGTGCCCAACATGCTTTTGGAGGAAGACGAAATGTAATCCTATTTCTTTTTTGATGTTTGGAAGCAATGGGTTTTGGTTCATGACGACGTACTACTGGGCCGCGTATCAATGGCGTCGTTGGCGAGCTGGTCGGCGACGGCGTTGGCGGCGCGCGGAATCGCGCGGTACTGCACGCGCGGCAACGCACTCGCCTTGGCCTTGGCCTGCTGATGCAGCGTTTGCAGCACAGGGTGCTTGACGCGATAGACGCCGAGCATTTGCTTGGTCACGAGCTCCGAGTCCATTTGCACTTCGACGCTCTCGATCGCATGCTCTTTTGCTAAATCCAAGGCGAGGAGGAGCCCGTGGTACTCGGCGGCGTTGTTGGTGATGTTGTCGCCCAAGAACTGCTTGGCGGTTGCGACGACGGCGCCGGACGCATCGACTAGGACCGCGCCACAGCCCCCAATGCCCGGGTTCCCACGGCTCGCTCCGTCCGAGAAGACAATGTGCAGGCTTCGGACGCCGCGTCCGTGCCACTTCAAGACCCGGTAGGCGAGCATATTGTGAGCCAAAATAATGACAGGCCTCAAAAGCAATGTCCTATCTTAGGCTTGATCCTAATTTTAAACGGCAACTCTAGGGCGAGGCCAGGGGCGAGGCTGCAACGTCCGCGTACTGCTTCGCGCGCTGTCGTGCTCATCAGTATATTGCAGGACTCGCTAGCTCTACGCACGCGCCTATCACGGCAGCACAAAATTGGTGAACGACTTCGTCCCGCCGCCACCGCCAGCGCAGCAAGCCGACGTCGAGAACAAGTACACGGCCGGCGGGGCGCTGTACTTCTACTCGACGTCGGCTTGCTGCGCTGGCGGGACGAAGACGCGCTGTCGTGCTCATCAGTACTAGTATATTGCAAGACTCGCAGGCTCTAGCTCGACGCTCGCGCCTATCATGGCAGCACAGAGCTGGCGAAGAGGCTTGCCAGAATGCGATGCGACGAGCCACAGTGATCCAGGAAAGGCAGTGCACGCTATTCATCGTCGACGTCCCGACTGTGCCAACGCTGTAGACGGTGCGAGCGTCTGCTACTGGAGCTCCGATGCCAGAGGCAGCAAGGCACCGTTCCGACAGCATCATCGCTCTATATATACGACCAGGACTCATGGAGTTGTGTTCATCTTGGTGAGGCCGTTGGACGTTGAAGGGGGTTTCAGAACCTGCCTCCTTTTTACTATGGGATGTGAGAGGGACCCGTTACGAGGTGTCGGTTTAACTTGGCGTCGCAGTCGACATTCCTCGCGTTCGTTGAAAGAAGAAGCAGCAGCAGCATGACGAACATCATCCGCAAGGTCACCGACTTTTACAAGAAGGACGAGTGCATCAAATTCTACAAGTTTGGCAAGACGCTTGGCACGTACGTCTGGAAACTACGATCTGAGAGATATGATGTGTGTTCTGATAGCGGGAGTTTTGCGACCGTGAAAAGCGCCGTGTGCAAGGCCGACAACTCGCACTGGGCCGTCAAGTGCATAGAGAAGGCGTCGCTCGCGCCGGACGACGAAGAGGCGCTCCGCGTCGAAGTCGAGGTCCTCCAGATGGTCGAGCACCCCAATATCGTCAAGCTCAAGGAGGTCTTCGACTGCCCCAAGACGTTTTACATGGTCATGGAAGAGATGAGCGGCGGTGAGCTCTTCGACCGCATCGTCGAGAAGGAAAAGTACACGGAGAAGGAAGCGCGGCTGGTGGTGCTGCACCTCGCCGAGGCGCTGCAGTACTGCCACGGCCTTGGCATCGTGCACCGCGACCTCAAGGTAGTACTGTGCTTGCTGCGATTGCGTCGGGATCGACACGGGTGGCATGTGTAGCCAGAAAATCTCTTGTATGCGACGACCGACGAGCACGCGCCGATCAAGATTGCCGACTTTGGCCTTGCCAAGCTCATTCAAGGCAACAACATGATGCAAACCGCCTGCGGTACACCGGGGTACGTCGCACCCGAGATCCTCGAAGGCAAGCCGTACGGCGGCGAAGTCGACATGTGGAGCCTCGGCGTCATCACCTACATCTTGTACGTCGTCGTGTATGGTATCAAGGACCGTATCAAGTTGATATTTTCAGGCTCTGCGGGTTCCCGCCCTTTTACGATGAAAACAACGCGACGCTCTTTGCGACCATCAAGGCGGGCGCATACGACTTTCCGTCGCCGTACTGGGACAACGTCTCGGACAGCGGTACAGCGACGACGCTCCGCTTCTCGCCAACTGATTCATTGGATAGCCAAGGACCTCATCAACCACATGCTGGTCGTGGATCCGAAGAAGCGGTTCACGTCCGAGGACGTGCTCAATCACCCGTGGGTCAAGGACCCGAACGAGGCCAAGGACACGCAGCTCTCGAGCTTCACCGCCGAAATGCGTCGCTACAACGCGCGCCGCCGGTTCCGCGCCGGTGTCATGGCGGCGAAAGCGCTTCGAAGCATGTCCCTCTCCCCCAAAAAGATGGGCGAAGCCAAAGATGGCGACGAAGCCGCGTCGCCGACACGTCGTGGGCTCAACCTCGGCGAGAACGCGGCCGTCACGCACGGAGTGCGCCAAGCCGCCGACGCAAAAGAGTAGACGGCGTCGGCTACCACGTACTTAATCTTTTACACGATTGCATTCTCGCGTCCTTACCACGCATGGAGCCTCAATGGAGAGGAGGAGTCGACGATTCGCATGCACCAAAAGTGCACACAAAGTGAATCGGAGCCGGTCGCCGCTTCTATTTAATAGCAACGCTGGGTGGGAGCTGCATCTCATAGCCAAGCTTCGTTGCATCCTGGTGCACTCGGCTCGTTGCTTTGAACCGCAAGCGGCTCCCAAGGCAGAGGTCGAGAAGACTTATCGCCCTTGCAAGCGGTGATGTCCGAGAAAGCTGCGACGACACTTGCGACGCATTTCACCTGGTCAACGCACTAGTGTCATGCAAGCGATGGTTCAAACGATAGGCGGTAGGCTATCGCCTATCGTTTGTCCATCCAGTCCACGCTTTGGACTGAATGGACACGTGTTTGGACTGGACATGGACATTCTGCCCACCTCTGGCGGTAGCCACTTGAGACGACTTCTACAAATCGCATGCCGCACGCCTCTGGTCCGTGTCTGGTGCAATCGTTTGGCGACTCGGAACGACCATATCAGTACCATGGGCGACGACTGTCGAGGTAATAACATGACTGTGCAACTGGAGCGACGAAGCGGATAAGTCCGTCGTCGTCTTCCTCCTGGAGCGCGCTGCCGGCTTCCCTTTCTAGCGGAACTTCAATTTCGAGGTTTAATGTTGCATACAAATATCGAGTCCAACGTAATAAAAACGAGTTTGCCCTCGCGTCCAAGCATGGCCAAGCCGCGGCCCGCGGGAAAGAAGAAGCCGGGACGAGGCGCGTTCCTGGTCAAGCGGACGGCGCGCGGAGGCGACAAGACGAAGCCGAGCTCGCGAGCGATCAAGCCTCGGATCGACGAGGCTCAGCGCCGGGCCAACGAGATCATGGAGTGGCTCGGCGACGCCGTCCTCGACGAGCTCGTCGGTCGCAGCCTGCTCCGGCACGTGCAGCTCTTTTGCTCGACGACGCACGACAACGACCTCTCGAACCTGGACCTCTTCCGCGAACTCCGGAGCACGCTCGTGACCAACGCCAACTTGAGCTGCGTCTACGACAAGCTCTTCCCGGCCAAGTACACGATCCTTCTGCACCCGCTCAAGCTCAAGGAAAAAGCCGACCTCGTCGAGGTGCTCGTCGGCCGCATTGCGGCGCGATCGCGTCCGACGCCGTCCGAGATTGCCAAGCTGGACAGCGTCCTCTCGCACATGCTCCACGTCGAATTCACGCAGTGGGCGGTCCAGGCCGAAGCCGACGAGAAGAGCAAGGTCAACCAATTCGAGCTGCTCCAAGAGCTCCTCGACGACTCGGACCTAAGCGATTTGGACAATAGTAGTAGTAGTGACGCAGCGCCCGTCGAGGCCCTCCTCTCGTCGCCCGTCGAGGAGCCCATCTCGGTGGTTCCGACGCTCGCCCACCACTTGATCCCGAGCCACCGATGCGGGACGACGAGCCATACCACGCGTTTGCGACGGTGAAGGAACTGCTCGCACACGCGGTGCCGGCGTCCGCGCAAGTGGCGTCGCTGCTTGCAGACGTCGCGGCGCTGCGGACCTTGGCGACGGACCCGACCCATGTGCTCCAGACGTCGAGGGTCATGTTTGAAATCTTCAAAATGTACGGCATGTCGGTGCTCAAGGAGCGGTCGAGTGCGTGCTTGCTCTTCGAGACGCAGCTGGCCGCGGACCAAGGCAAGCTCACGTGGGTGCGACAAGAGGTGCTGAGCCTCGAGAACCTCGCGGGCGCCGCCATCGCCTTGGGCCTCGCGTCGCCGGCAGCGTCATCGCGTGTGCAAGCCAACTCGCTCCGCGCGCTTGTCGGGTTTGCGACAGCGATGAACCACACGCGCGCCGTCAACGCGCTCGCGGCCTATGTCGTGTACCTCCACCACCTCCGCCAGCGCACGCACCTCTGCCGCAAGAGTGCATGCGCCCTCGGCTTCCTCGAGAACCGGCGCGTCCTCTTTGATGACGTCAACGCGTGGCTGCTGCACGAAGACTCGACTTGCGCGCATTCGTTTGAGCTCTTTTACGCGAGCGTCTGGACCTCACTGCCGCCAACCATCGCGCTCTCCGCCTTGCCCAAGAGCGTGGACGCGACTAGTACGTTTCTGCAGCGCCGGCAACTGCCCCCGGTCGCCTCCGACGAGCTCACGCGACTCCAGTCGTGGCTGCCCGATCGCTGGTGTGACTTGGACACGCACTTGGTGCTTCAGGCGCCGACGCTTTCCCGGAAGCGCAAGCGGGCCCGAAGCGACGGTACACATCTCCTGCTCTCCATCGTCCTCAAGAGAGGTTTGGGTAGAGGTCGACGTCGACGCCGCCAAGCTCGCCCGCAAGTCGTTTGCGTCGTTTGCCTTGCTGCAGCGGTTCCAGCACCGTCGGTTCCTCTACTGCCTCGAGACGCTCGTCGTCGCCTTTGCCAAGGTACCAGGACGACGACTCGATGCTTGGTATGTGGACTGTGTACATATAGAACGATGTGCGGCACTGCGATACGTACTTGCACCATCTTTTGAGCAACCGGCGCGACGACGAGAGCGACGAGCTCGCGGGCGCGATGGGGTGCCCGAAAGCGTGCTGCGTCACCGAGCACTGCCTCTCGCTCGCACTCAAAGACAACTTTTACCGGCTCCTCATGCACGAACTCTGTCTCTTCCACCGACTACTCTCGTCCAGTACGTGCCTCGCGCACTCTCTCGCCCACCCTCGAGCCACTTTCTTCCATGTAGGCAAGACCGTGACAAGCGGCGCGCGCGTGACCCAGATCCGTCGCCCGCCATCGTACGTCTTCTCGCACGATACGTTCACCGACGTTGCCGTCGCGATCGTTCTCTGAAACACATTGGTCGCGTGTTGAAACATGTAAACGTCCGAATCTCGTCACGGCGTATCGGCCCACTGCCGAGCGAGCTCGGCCTTCTCGGTACTGGGCTTGCTCAGTCGACGCGGCCCCTTGGCACTGCGCGTCCCTGGATGACTCTGAAAAAAGGCCGGAGGTTTCACGTCCTGGCGCGCACTCGTCGTCGTGAGCGGCAGCACTGCCTCGCAGCTCTCGAGCATCTTTTTGAAGGCGAGTTCGCGCGCCGCCATGATGCGCCAACGGCACGCTGGGCACGCGGCGCATGGCCACGTAGACGAAGAGGAGGAAGAGATGTTCGAGCACGAGGATCACGACAAGGCGCACCGTCGGGCTCACGCAGTGAAAGTTGGGCCCAAACACAAAGTCCTGCAGCGTCTTGCCTTCCTGCGCGAGCGCATCCGCGTACTCTTGGACGCATGTCGGGCTGTAAAACTCCATCGCGCCTACGCTCTGTCAACAAACCACCGATGCAGTCGTGCCCGACCTGTCGAGAGACACACGAGGAGCACCTACAGAGAAAAAGTCGTCGCATGCCATCATTTTGTTGCGCATACGTACGTTGATGAGCACCGCAATGTAGGCAAACGCCGAAAAGATACTGCGCCAAGTGCCAATGCCGTTGGCCTTGCGCGGGTGCGGGCGCTAGAAAGACACGTGCGATGGTCCTCGAAGAGAAAAAGCGCGTACTTTGAGCGTCCGGCAGAGGCGGTAGCCGTCCGTGCGCACTTTGAGCAGGTTGATGAGAAGGCACGCCATCGGCATTGGCGGCCACAGCATCGAAAACATGACCGTAAAGCCAAACTGGACCGTGAGCGTGTGAAAATCGTTGTACGGGTCGTACGCCGTCTGCTCGCTTTCAAAAAGCACGTTCCGCGCCTACGCGACGCATTCCATCTTCATATTTGTCCGATGGCCGCGGGCCATGGCTGTACCTTTTGGTTGAGAATCTCAATCTCCGTCGCCGTGTACTCGAGGTACCGCGTCTGGTCCTTGTTGCTAAAGTGCGCGTTCCTATTGCCACACGCTGCAGTCTCGGACATCACAGTAGAGTTGCGTACGACGCGTCATAGTCGAGGGCCCCGAGGATCTTCATCGAGCCGCCTTGGCGCACGCGGTCTTGGGCCGCGCGGTCGGCCGCGGCGCGTGCTCGCTCGCCTTGGAGCTTGCTCAAGAGAGGCATGACGACGCCGACGACGATGTTGAGGAGCTGCGTCACGATGATCGGCGTCACAAACATCGCACTCAAGTCGACGTGGCGAATGTCAAAGGTAAAGTACCCCTGGCACGGCACGCACGGCGCGACACCGCTCGGGCAGCGCGCGCAGACCGAGGGCGAGAGCAGGTCCGGGCCAAAGCAGCAGTTGCTCGGGTCGTGAAACAGTAGTGTGTTGAGGGCGTTCGTGAGCGCATTGCCCGCGCCAGGAATCACATACACGAACGCGAGCGAGAAGAACCACGTAAAGTAGTTGAGAAAGTCCATGCCAAAGAGCTTGGTGATGAGCGCGCGCTCGTACGCCTCTTCCGTCTTGTAGTTCTCCCACGTCGTGAAGAGCCGGCCCATGGACGTGACGACGAGGTTCCACTGGACCACGTCGACAAAGAAGCCAAAGACGATGCCTTCGAGGAGGATGAGGCACCACTGTTTCGAGAGAAACCCGCTCGATGCCTTGTACTTGTCCTTGATCATCTCGTAGATCGAGACCCAGAGCGCGACGAGCACGAGCATGAGCAGCGTTTGGCAGAGGAGGAAGAGCACGCCGAGCACATGGATCGGATACCTCTTCCATGCCGCGTAGACCTTGACGGGCTCGCCAATCAGCGAGTCGTGGACTTCATCGCCGTGGAAGGCCTTGTTCGGGTACTCGATCTGCTTGACAATGACCTTGTTGTTCCACTCAAACTGCATCGCGGCGTTGCGGCGGTCCCATGCCTTGAGGAACGAGAAGCTCCAGACGACCGAGACCACGAGGCCCCAGATCGGCAAGAGCCGCATGTACGTCGTCATACGCAGCGTGTGCCGCAAGATCTCCATGAGGACGCCGCCCAGCGCGATCGGTAAGAGCGCCTTGGTGTAAAAGTGCATGAGCGCAAAGTAGTACGCGACCTTTTCGCCAAAGTTGTGCCGGAGTCCATCGACGAACGCAGCGTTGCGCCGCTCGAGGTCGATCGAAAAGATGAAGTTGGAGAGGAGCGCGTGCGTGCTCTTGGCGTCGTGCACCGGCAGCATCGTGTGGATCCAGCGGTCGCGCACGGACAGGCGCGCGCGCTGCTCGATGATAAACTGGACGATTTCAATGCGCTCGGCGGGCGTAATCGGCTTCTCGACCTCGACAAAGTCTTGTGGCATGTCGCTCACTCCGCCGTGGTCGAGCCAGAGCTTGCGCCGAAATTTCTTGGCGTACGCGGATGCGACCTCGTCCGACGCGCGCACGAGCAAGAGGAGATACTCGCTCGTCATTTCGCTGCTCGACGAATGGCCGCCGTCGATGATGTCGATGAGCAGGCCTTGGGCGCAGAGCTTCTCCACGAGCCGCCGGTGCTCGTCCTCGCCGTCTTCCAAGAGCGGGCTGCTCACCATGCAGAGCCGCCGAAAACCGAGCCGCTCCGCCGCCGACGTGGGCCAGCACCAGCCTTCGTCCGCGACCGCGCGCACGCTTCGATGCACGATCACGACATAGTCGTACGGCGCTTGCCCCGTGCTGCTCTGGAGGTCCGCCGGTGTGAGGTACCGAAACTTGCCGACGGCGCCGACGTGGCGCGGGCTCTTGGAGTACGCAAGCGACGGGCGCAGCATGCTCGGAGCCATAGCTGGCACCGAGGCCGCATGGGCGAGGCCCGGCCGCTGGATGCTGGCGACGTCGTCCAGGTGCACGTCTTCGCCGAGCATCATGGCAACGGAGCCAGAAATGCACAAATAATTACCGGATATTAAATCCATTTCCGACTTATACTCAAACCAAGTTCAACGGCCATCGAAGAAGATGGCACGACCAACACTCTGGCGAAAGATTGCAGCGGGCCAGCACCCGCCGTCGTCACCAGATGCGACGAGCCTGTCCTTGACCGCTGCTAGCTCGGCATGCACCGCGGGCAGACAGCTAAACGGCCGCAGGGCGCAGCTGGCAAGGCTCACCACGTGCAACGCCGGGTCTTGGACCGAGACGAAATACCGACCGTGCACCGACTGTACGAGAACCCCAGGCCACCGCACCAAAAATACTCGAGAAAGGCGGTGAGTTGATGCTGGTGCTGCCGCTGGAAGCTCTCGCGTTGGTCGACGTTGTCGACTGCGAGCACTTAACGACGACACCATGCTGCCACTCGTGGTCAAGGCGTCGACATGGAGATACGGTTGGACGCCCGACGTGGCGACACCGTTGCGGTGCTGCTTGCGTGATGTATCCGCAGCGTCGCAATGGTGACCCCGTTGGGCTAGTACAGCGCGCCGACTGGATTGCGCACCTAGTCGCTGTGGCCACTTTGCCTCTGCAACGTGAAAAGTGCAACTGGATTTTAGCCTCGACGTGCGTGATGCTTGGCGTGGGCAGTGGGGGGTGCAATTGCAAGAGAAGCGTATCGATCGAATGAGTGATGGACAAATCAGGTTGCTGAATTCACTTTGGGGGAGCATCTGGTTACGACTGGGAACCGCCACCCGTTTCACGACACCGAGCTGTGGGATGTCGACGTCGGCGGACGAGCCGGCGTCGCCGAAATCTGCCATGCGCTTTGGCGCGTCGTACTGGAAGCAGCAGCTCTTGGAGGCCAAAGATAAACTCAAGGCGACTTTGACCGTGCATGGTCGGGAGCTTCAGACGATCCAGCGCCACCGACGATGCGACACATCGATGCGGCTACCGACCGCAACCGCGCTCGAGGACGCGCGGTCTCTAATTCTTCGGCGTCTCATCGCGCCAAGCCCGGCGCTCCAAGACGAGGTACAACCCATTTGGACGGTCTACGCTACCTGCACTCAATTAGCTATGGGTCGAGTCGCCCTTGCATTCGACGACAGCCGACTCTGTCGTGGACGACCTCTCGCGCTTTCTCGTCGACCGAAGGGACCGCTTCCGGACCCACCGCGCCAATGTATACGATCCGCTGCGCCACCGCGTCCAACACGATGTAATGTGGTGTAGGTACTGTCACGGCTCTCGCAGACCCATCGCGTCATGTCCGAGCTCGTTGCCGCCCTCGACGCCGAGACGAGCTCCATCCAAGCCGACGAAGCTGCAACGACCCTTGCGCTGGCGCGGTAAATTTCTGATTGTCCTATCGCACGGCCGTAGATTCGCTGGTGACGATAGTCTCAACGATGCAAAAACCGCCGACGTCGACGATCTCAGTCAGTACTTGAGCTTTCTCGAGGCACAGCTCCGACATACCAAGCTCACGACGCGCTTCACGACGCACCTCTCGTGGCTTGCCGAGAGCCACCGGCCGTCGCTGCTTCGACGCATGCATGCGATGCTGCAGCCCAACGGCTCGGCGTCGCCACGTCCCGAGAACGACGATGCTGGCAGCCGCACGGACGCGCCACCGATCTTTCTTCTTTCGGTACATTCGCAATGACGAGCTTTGCACGTGCGACGATGCGACATTGGTAGGCCCAAGCGGTCGAGGTGGCCATCCACAGCTTCTTGCGCAAACTGGGCTATCACGACGACCGGCCCGAGCTCGAGTCGGACGATGACTTCCTGCATGCGGTGCGGCAGCTCTTTCCGGTGCATTTCGCATCCCATTGGACGCCGTTCGTCGATGACACCAGCTGCGTCACGCGCGTGCGCACGACGTGGTCGCTCGGGTCACTCTTTCCCATCGCGTCCGACTGGGCGCGTCACGAGGGGGGCACGTGTCCACCCGACATGCTTCTCGATGCCGAAGTGCACTTTGCACTTGTCCAAAACGTTGCGCGGGTCATGGAGCGACTCGAGACGCTGGCGACGACGCATCTCAAGCGGGCCCACGTCACGCTGGTCGACGCCGACATCGACCCGCCACCGAGCGACGCCAAGCTCAAGAGCTATTACCTCCTTCGGCACCTCTACCTCCGCCAAACCAAACACCGCGTCCTCGAGCTACTCAACGTCGCGACCTCGATCGAACGCCATCTGTGTCTCGACGCCGCCAGCACCGGTCGGGATGCGTACGACGTCATCGCCGAGCCGCATTTGGTCGCGCGCACCCCAGGCGGCGGTCTTCTCTTGTACGACGCTGCGTGGGAAAATGCCATCGCCCTCGACCGCCATCTCGTCGCCTTGGGCAGTCGCTACGTGCGCGATACCGAGCAGCAGAGTCGGACCGCGCCGATCGTGGACCGTGGTAGCACCTTGGTCGACTTGTACGACGCGGCCATGTACTTTCTCGAAGCCAACATTCGATTGGGCTACCACGTCTTTACGCGTCTCTACCTGCGCGTGACGTCGCCCGTCGCCCAGGCCAAGCTTCGCCAAACGCTGGTGACGTGGATCCACACAACACCCCTCGTCGATCGAGACGCCTCGTACTTTTGGGACGCCTACTCGTTCCAGGTCGTTGTGCTGGACGTGCAGCGGCAGCTCTTGGTCGACATGGAGGCGCGCCTTGCGGTGGCACTTGCAGTTGAGGCGATGACGTTTTCGCCGCTCGAGGCGATGGTCGACGTGGTCCAAGCGCTACAGGCGGCTTTGGTGGCGGTCGAGACACGCATGCCGGCGTCTCGGGTGCTGCATAAGCTCGCGCTTGACCGCGCCGTCGTGGAACACGCCGTCGTGCTCTGGCACCGCGTCCTCGACGAAGACCACGGCTACACGAACGCCTCGAGCTCGTTCTGGACAACCTCGCGCTACGTGCAGTACTATACCAATGACGCGACGTCGTCGATTGTGGCGGAAGCCGCACGGGATCTGTCGCGCCAAAGCGGCGGCGACACCGGCATCATGGTCAAGCACCTCGGGCGCGCAGTGCAGTTTGTGCAGCTGCAAATGGACTTAAGTCGGCTCGTGTACGCATCCGCGCACGTCGACGCGATCTCGCGAAGGAGCTTGGCGCCCTTTGCACTCGCACCACCACCGGCGACCGAATCGTACCTCGACCACCCCGCCGCGGTCGAGGCGCTCGATTTCACCTCGTGGCCGCGACTGCGGTGCATCCTCGACTGGGTCCAAGTCCAGATCAACGGCGACGCGCCGTTGGCGTGGCTCGCCGCCACCGTGGTCACGCAGCGCGCCGAGCTCGCGTTCCAAAGCGCATGCCTCTGCTTCAATCGGCTCGTGATGGACCCCATCGACGACTTTGATGTGACATACGAAGCGCTCTTTGAAGCGCACAAAACCGAGCAGCTACGCAACGTGGAGCTCGAATCCAACCACCGGAGCTTTCTCATGCACCTCGATAGCGCGGTGGGGCGGCGACTGCTAGCGGAAAAAGTTCGGGCGCGCGTTAACGACGAGCGCCACACGCTGCGCCCACTCCTTTTGCAGCCCGAGACAAAGCGGTCGTGTATTATTGCCGAACTTAACGCGGCGTACGCGATCAAGGTCGATACGATGCATGCGAGCGAGAGCTTGGAGACACTCATGCACGACATGCTCAAGCTCTACAATGCGCAATTGCTGGACGACGTAGCGAGCGAAACGTGCTTGACGCAGCTCTGCCACGTCATCGCGAACCTCGATGTGATTGGCCGACGCGTGCAGGCACCGTCTGTGAACCCGTTCGTGCCGCCACCGACGGCGCCGCTCGAGCGCTGGTTTCTCGACGAGCTCGTGCCGCTCGAAGACAAGTTGTCCAAACCAACCGAGACACTGTTTGAAACAAAGTGGGTCCCAGGGGATCTCACGCATTTCTTGCACTTGCCCCGCGCGCAGCGGATTCTCCAGTACTTTCAAGCGACCGAGACGGCATCGCTGGTTCGCCCGACACTGTCGATGTACCTTCGATTTCAAGACATTCTGCACTGCCTGTGCTTTCGCGCCGCCTTGCATCGGCAAGCCGTCGACGACGTCTTTGGCACCGAAGTCCGCGACCTCGTACTTTGCTAAACCATCCATTCGTCACGTTCGAAAGAGGTTGTAGGTGCACCAGCTGCAGCACCAGTGCGCACCCGCCGAGCCGCTCGCCGTGGTTCTCGACTGGCTCCACGCCAAGCGCGAGACGTCAGCCACGTGCGTTTGGCTCACGCTGCAAGCCCTCTTGCGCGACCCAAGCGTGCTTCCGCCGCTCCAGCAAGAAGGTGCATGGCGTCCTTTCCACTGTACACAGAAAACCTCACAGCAATATCCGTCGTCTAGGTGCTCGCGTCGTTGAAGACGCAGGTGTGACGTGTCGTAGGTGCGTGGGTTGTCTCGACATACGGCAAGCGCGGCGCGATGCATGGCGTCACCTTGCTCCGCGCTCTGCCCGATGCCGTCGTCCAGAACGCCCGCGTGCTCTTCAAGCGCCTCGAGGCGCGCTGCGTCGAAAACAGCGCCGGAAAATCGTATCTGCACAAGTTCGAGGCCTTCTTGGGGCTTCGGGCGTTCTACTTTGCGCAGCCCACGTCCGAGAGCGGCGAGGTAGGTCTATGGCGCGTGCTGACATCGGAAATGGCCGCGGGCGATGTCCCCAAGAAGCAGCTCAGTCGGCAACAGCTCGATTTGGACGTTCCCGAGGCGCGCATTCTCGACCAGTACATGGACAACCTGCGGAATTACATTGAGCTCTGTCTTGTGAACGCCGACATGACGCAGTGCACGGCGATGTTCCATCAACTTGTTGCATCCCCGAGCCCATCGCGCGAGACCGGCCATGCCAATGTACGACGCTATTCAAAAGGGCAGGTCGCATGCCTCTTCTAGACGGCCTTCGTCGCCAATGTGATGCGCGATATGGCCGCACCCAATGCGGATGTCCATGCGATCCTCACGCGCTTTTGCGATACCGTCCACGCCGCCAGCCAGCGGGAAGCCGACAGTCGGCTGCAGAGCGTCGAACACATCAACACGCAGCTGCGTCACGCCGTGCGCGTCTTGGAAACGTCGCAGGCCGATTTGGTGGCCAAGCTGGCGCGCGCGGCCCACGAAACCGAGCACGACCGCACGACCGCGGCGGTCGACAAGGTACGCGGCATGTTTTCCACAGCGCACCGCACTACTGTCTATAGTCGTATGCGATCGTTTTGGACTTGGAGCGTGCGCGGCACGAGCTCGGGCGGGTGGCCCACGAAGGCGACGTCCAGCGCGCCAAGGTCACGGCGAGCGTGCGCGCCGAGTACGAAGCCAAGCTGCGCGAGCTCTCGAGCGCAGTCATTGCCAAGCACGCGAAATTCGACGAGTACCGCGCAAGTGTGCAAGCGGTAGATGATGCCACTTGATCTCTCGTCACATCGGCACGGTGCGTGACATGTGTGTAGGACTTGCGCCAGCAGATCCACGCGCAGCAAAAGACCTCGATCGAGTCCTTTATTGCCTCCGGGGCCGTCCCGATGCAAGTCAAGAGCCAACTCGTGCGCGCGGTGCGCGCCAACGAAGAAATCGATGTACGACACCCTCTCTTCGGACGTCGTCGTAGCATGCGTGTCTAGATCATTATGGATGAAAACACCAACTTGAAGCACGCGCTCGTCAAAGTACGCGCCTTGTACGAGCTGCGGGAAGCGTCGCTTGTCGCGGGCCACGAGAAAGCCCTTGGGCTTGTCCACGCCCAGCTGGCCAAAGCCAAGCTGGCGCAGCATGAAAAAACGCGTCTCGAGGCACAGCTCGAGGCGTCACGGACCGAGATCCTGAGCTTGCGCAAGCAACTGGCTGTCGCCACGCTGCCAGGCTATGCAACCCGCGCATCGGTGTCATCGACCACCGAGCCACCAGAGGCAACGACAACGACGACGGCACCGGCGTTCTCGGCCCTCTCGTCGTTTACGCAGCGCCTGCGCACCCGCCGCAGCACCGATGTATCGGCCAACGTTGGCCACGTTGAAAGCCCAACCAAAGACCCGACGCCACCAACCAAGGACGACGGCACAAACAACGATATCGACGACGACGACGACGACGAAAGCAGCACCGGCGTCTCGGATGCGGACGGCCCGGCGATCGACGAGCTGGTACCGAGAGCAAAAGAGGAGAACGTGCTTGCGATGCGAGCGCATTACGAGCGGGCGACGCACCACATGCAGATGGAGATTCGCCGGCTCCAGGCCCAAGTCAAGGCCGAGATGCGCCTCAAGGCATCGGCACTCGATCAGCTCACACACGCCCGCGCGCACGCGCAGGAGCTCGTACAAACCGAGCTGCAGCGACTAAGCGACGAGGCCGTCGCCGCCAACGCCAAGCACGCCGACGCGGTGCGGGAGCTCATGGCGCTGCAAGAGCTCACGGCACCGACGCCCGAGCCGTTCCGCCACACGCGCGTCAACGCAAGCCGCCCGAAATCGTCAATGGCGCGGGCGTTCCAGTCGCCCATGAAGCCGATGGCGCGCCCGCAGACGTCGGGGTACGCGCGGCCGGGGCCGTCGGCGCGGCCTCTGCGCGGCAACCAGGCTACTGTCGAGGCCGTCATGGACGCCCGACCCAAGTCGGCGTACTCGACCAAGGTCAAAGAGGTCATTCAGCAAGAGATTGAAGGCGTCAACCAAGCGCTCATGCCACGGCTGCGACCCCTGTACCGATAGTAGTCTATAGTAGAGGACAAGCTGTACATGGCAAACGACAAGTTGTACATTGCAAAAGACATATTCTTTGCGTGGATTCAAGTGACATTCAAGAGACTAAAAACTAAAGCACACAACGTGGCTACTGGTACAAGAGGGAAGAGGTGGAGGAGATGAGGAGGAGAGCGTTGCCTCGTATGGAGTGCGTCGAGTCGAGAGTCGAGCTCGCCGCCGTGCACACGCCTCAGACACCGTCCTCCCTGGACGACACCACCCGTCAAGCCATTTCTGCCGTGGTGGATCGCATTACCAGTCCATCTCGTTCATGACTTCGTCGCCTTCGTCATAGTCTTCGTTTTCGCTTTCGTCGCCCGTCTCCATGGCCTCGTCGTCGTCCACGTCCGTGTCGCTAATGATGCTACATTGCGCACATGAGCCTCTTCCGGTGTCATGTCGCGTCGTGCCTACCTTCGCGACATGCACGTAAAGTACAAGATCTTCTTGTGCGTCTTGTGGTAGAAAAAGTAGTTGAACGACCAGAGCGTGCCATCGCTGAACGGGTCCGAGCAGCCGTCCATGTCGGGGATGTAGCTGTAAATCTCGCACTCGCGTGGCGAAATCGCACCAAAGATCGATTCCCACAGCTTCTCGAGAAAGCCCATGTCGTCCATCTCGACAATCTCGGCGAGCTGCGCGTTCACTCCGTTGACAACGAGCCGCAAGTCGACCTCTTTCTGGAACTGCTCGGGCTTCAAATCGGAAAAGTCATAGTCGGGAAACGACGCGTTCATCGTCGAGATCAAGTTGATGAGCAGCTTGCGCGTGTTGGCGTCGGCGAGCGATCCGAGCGGGTTGGCGCCGGCTTCGCCGACCGCCTGGTACTGCAGCTGGAGGCTCTTGGCCAGCTTCTTGTCGGCGCCGGCCTTCTTGCACGAGAAGCAATCAATGCGGCCGTTGATGACCCGGTCGCCGACGCTGATCTCGCTCATGGCCGCGTTGGCCCAGTCCAAGCTCGGCTCTTCGAGGTACTTCATCCTTCTTCTTCTTAGTGTTGTTGTTGGGCAATCTTATTTTGGAAATACCTGTTTTTTGCGCAATTTGCAGTATAAAAAAGAGTCGCTGTCGGTTAACTACCTCGTTTTAATACAAAGGATCGCCATTGGACTTGGTCTTTGTATGCACGTGTCGCAGAAAAGCACGCCGCAGTTTAAAAAAGCGTATCCACAGCGTCGAGGCAGATTCGCGCAAGGCAGCGTATCCGGACAACCGCTCCACTTCGTACTTGTTTTTGTATGTGGGTATCCGGATACCAAGAAGATTCAGCGTGCCACGTGGTAGGCTTCTTCAAGCGGGGTCCCAGGGGGAGGTATATTTTAAAAATCGGCTCCGTTCGATCTTGTTCTTTGTAGATATAATAAAAACACGAATGTAAAAAACTGTCGAAGCGGGACGGGGTCCTACGCAAACGACGCAAGAGCGCATCGACGAGGCGAGGACCGACGCGGACGTCGAGACGGTCTTTGCCGTCTCGGTGGCCGTCTTTGGCGGCGAGGACGAGAAGCATGGCCTCGCCGAATGGCGCCGCCGTCTCCGGGCGATGCATGGGCGCATCTTCTACGTACAGGCCAATGACGGAAGCGTGCTTGGCTTTGTCTTCGTGCATGCCCATGCAACGTCTGCAAAGACCATGCACGTGTGGATCGCAGCGACGCATCCGTGCGCACGGCGCCAAGGCGTCATGCGGCGCCTGTTCCAGCACTGCCGTCGCATCTTTGGCGGCGACCACGCACGCCTTACCGTCAACACGTTTCCAGCCCGGTTCCCGCACATGCCGCCGTTCCTCACCGCGCTTGGGTATGCGCCGATTGGCATCCAAGGCGAGAAACACTGCTACGCCCTCCAGCTCGACGCTGCTGTGTAGGAGTAGCTTGCACCACCCAACGAGCATGCGTGCCCAACTGACGGGCGAGGACCTGGCTGCGGCTGCGAGACACGATGGACGCACGTATGTACCTAGGATCATCAGGACGAGGATTTTCATGTTAATCCATGGCGACATGACAGTGGCAACTTGATCTTTTGAGCTGTGAACAGCAATGAGTGGCATCTCATATCGTCCACGGCAAATGAGATCTGAGGCGGAGGCGTATAGTATCTCAAGGAACTAATGGTCAGACTCGCGTCGGCTTGTACGTAGGCCAGGTAGACCATGGAAGATGAGGTCGTCGTTGGCGCTAAAGAAGCGGAGGACTGCGCTTTTTGCGCGAATAGGAGCCGATCCGGTCGCTATGGAACGATCGATTGAGTACCGATAGTACCGTAGAGCTCTTGGCAGGTCGTGCCACTCATCAAGCTGGTACTGGATGCAGCCAAGGCGAACCCCTGGACCCCCGTCGTCGTCAATAGCGTCGCTGGCTCGGATGAGCGCAAGCGACCGTTCCAGCGACTGCCACCTCGATATCAGCATCCGCTGCATGCACAATCGACGTGAGAGCGTGTCATGCAATAGCGTCCTCCTGAGCGAGTCGGCAGTAATACGTACTGACACACGTAGTGGAGAGAGCCATGCTGGACCTGTGCGATGCAGATAGCACTCAGCCGACCATTGTTTGTTCCGTCGATGACCTCTAGCTTGCTACGCACGAGGTGCGGGGCTCAAACCCGTACTATCCTTGTTCTCTTTTCCACTTGCGTTGGCATCGGAACCCCTACGTTGGCTCCTCTGACGAGCTTGTACCTCAATGTCATCCTATTCTCCATGCCATGCGCAGGGTTGGACTAGAGCCCATCTCTATTCTAAAAGCGATTACGCATAGCGGTCGAGGAGAGCACGGATCGACGCGTCGGTCGTCGTGGCCCAGAGCGTCTCCATCGAGAGCTGAACATCGACCTTGAACGACGCGTCGACCGCGTCGTCTTGGAGCACAAGCACGCACGCTCTGCACGCATCGGCGCTGAGCTCAACACCCGAGTCAATCGCGCGTCCGAGGACCTCGATCGCGTCGGTGGCGTGGCGGGCCGAGAGAGCGGCCACAAGCGCGCGGCTCAGTAAACGCGGACTCGTCCACGGCAGGGCGTCATTTGGCAAACTTTGCAAATAGCCAAGCACCGAGACCTCGGTCGACGGCATCGCATCGAGCACATGGTCGATATCCACGTCGTTGAGCGGTGGCAGGCCCGCGGGCCGCTGCCGGAGCAACGTTGCCATCGTGCTCGCGTCGTTGCAGCTGGCACAGAGCTGCAGCACAGCCGAGTGGAGCGTCGCCAGGTGGCGACCGGCCTCCTGCTGCGTGTACTGCGTCGCGATCTCGGTGAGCATCGAGACCGACCGCTGGTCCCGCAGCGCCGCGTACGTCAAGAGACCAAACACGCTGTCGTCGAGCTTCACGGCTTCCGTCCACACGTAACAGCGCCAGAGCTGCATGGCTTGGTCCATTTCGGCGGCGGTCGCGCTGCCACGTGGGCGAATCCGCAACAGGTCGGCGACGCCGCGGGTGAGCGCCAAAGGCGCGTTCTTGACCACGCGCGGGTACGCTTCGTAGAGCGAGTAGAGGCTTCGGTGGGGCGGCAGACTGCGGAGCACGCTGTCCATGTCGTCTTCCGTCGCCTCCAATTGGTAGTACTGCAGCTCCTTGAGAAGCAGCTCGATCGCGTCGTGTGCGTTCTGCGCGCACATGAACTGGAGCAGCGCGCCAGTAAAGTGGTACCCTGCGTCGTGGACGTCGGTCTGGCGGGCCGTCGCAACCTTGCCATCTAGGCGCGATCCGAGTGAGCCTCCTCCGTACAAAACGTGTCGAACCTAAAAAGTCATCCTTGTAGCGGGCTTTGAAGCGATGGCGATGCAGCAGCCCGGCCGTCGCGCCTGCGTGGCCATAGGCGACATCCAGAATCGAAATGCTCTTTGCCTGCGCATAATCCAGCACGCGCGTCGCAACGGACGGGTGCTGGAAGAAGGACGATGCGCTGACGGCCAGCGAGAGCGTCCGCGTCGTCGCCGGCAGCACAGCCGGGTACGCCTCGAGAAGCTCGACCAAACAGTGCTCTAGCCATGCCATGCGTTCGTGTCCATAACCGAGTCGGCACGTACCCGATACCGTGGTCGACGATGGCAAAAGCGTATGGTACAACACGAGGGTTTCGTCGACCGGCAGCAGATACGCATGCGTCTCCATCCACGTTAGCACGTCAGCGACCACGTTGAATTGCTCGTGTGTACACGCGTGGACGAGGAGAAAACCAAGGACGTTGGTTTGCGACGCGTCGGCATAGGCGCCAAGCACGACGTCCACGTAGCGGCTTTGGACGTGGTCGATGGTGTGGCCGGCACGGAACATGGCCACGAGCACGTTGGCGTGCGTGGTGAGCGGCAGGGGCCCCGGCGCAGACGCGGCCAACGCGAGAAGGGTCTCGTACGCCCCCGTTTCGAAGAGCGCGCGCAGCACGGCTGGCGCGATCGCCGCGTCGAGCGCCACGTGCAGCGGCGCCAGGAGCGGCGCAATGTCGGCCACGAGGTGCGGCGCGGACTCCAGCGCAAGGCGCAAGACGGCGTCGACCGAGAGCGTCCGCACGTTGTGGGGGACAAGGTCGGCGTCCACGGCCGCGAGTTGCACGAGCGCGTCGACGGCCGTCGTCGCATTGGACGTCGCCAGCGCCGCGAGAAGCACCTGCTGTAAGAAGAGACTCGTCGTTCGCGGTAGGTACGATGGTTGGCGCTGCTGGGCGGCAAAGATCTTGGCGTACAGCACGTCGAGGACGACATTTGGCTGGCCCGATGCGTTCAAGCGCGCCGCCTCCTGCCACAAAAAGCCTATCCTGGCATTGAGAGCGAAACCTATGGTATGAATCATGCAGCGCACGCTGGTTCTTGGGGTTCTTGAGGATTGTCTTGGCCTTTTCAAAGGACTCGCCGTGGAGCGTCGGCGTGCCATGGCGGTCCGACTGGTCCAGCGCGCGGGCGAGGCCGTCCGGAAAGACCTGCTGCATGTGGGCGGCCATCGCGCGCTGCAGCTGAAGACCGTCGGCCATTGCATGCATCGCCAGGCGGCCACGTGCCAAAGCGCGCAGCGGCGTCGTCGCGCGAAGGAACGGTTGCATGGCGCTCTGTCGTGTTTTTGTCCGCTGGGAATCCACTCGATTTGATTGGTTATAAAACACGATGTTTTTGTCCAATCCCATGCCATCTCTCACGTGTGGCCGGTCGACATGTACAACTTGTCCATACCGCGTGCGACAACAAGAAACAAGCAACGAGCCGGACGTGCTGACCAAGTACATTGTCCTACCTTGGTGCCCGACTCAGGTTAGGCTGCACCATAGTCGAGAAGGGCATCACGCAATGCACTTCAGTCGCTGGTAATCACACCAGAGACACCGAGTCGAATCCGTTGAGACCTTGGTGCCATCCCGTCGCAATACAATACAGCCCACACACCGCCACCGTGTCGACGTTGAGAGCAACGCCATCCGCGCTAGCGAGTTTGCTGCGGCGGCAGCATGCTGCAAGCTGCTTCCGGCAATGCTGTGTCCCGCCTCATGCAGAAGCGATCTCTGTGTCTGATCCGACAACGACCAGCGCGGACGGTAGATACGCGAGCCGCAAGGGACGTGGCAGCGACGGCCGTGGTAGCAGCGGCGGTAGGTACACTGCACTGTGTCGTTGGTAATTGGCTGGTCGGCGGAGGATCGCGTTTCCACGAACGAGGGTTTCGGCGTGCCACGTGGTGGCCCTTGGTTCGCCGACGCTGACATGCTGCTACGACACCCGGTCCACGCGTCGCGGCGACGGACTGCAGTGGGTGGGGCTAAGCTTGCACTAGTCGTGGGCGGGGCGAAGCTTAGACCAGTGACCGAGGCGAGGTCCGAGGATGCGTGCGATGACGCAGCGCGATCGCGGATAGGCGCGTTCAAGTTAAATTGGGCCAATCGCACGCGCCGGTGCAGTTTTTCGCCGGCAAATAAATAAATAGGGCGAGCTGTTTTTGGCAAGAACAAGGTTTCCCTCAGGATGCGCCCGAGCCGCTTGGTCTGGCTCGTGCTCGCCGCGCTCCTACAGCGCGCTGCCTGTAGCCTCGAGGCTGTCGACGTGCGTGACCGGGCCATCTTGCTCGCAGGCCATGTGAGCGGCCAGCTCGTGGCCTTTGATGCGTGGACGGGCGAGGTCATCAACTCGATCGACTCGGGCGGACCGCTCGTGACCAACTGCCGACCGGAGCTCCTGCGCGGCGCGTTGCACCCGCGCATCCCGCGCTCGATTGGCGCCAGTAGTGCAGCGCCGGCGACGGACGTGGCGCTGGCATCGGCGTGGTCGGCCGAGCATAGCTTCCTCCCCAACCTCGCGAACGGCGGGCTCTTCCACTACGAGAAGCGTGCGCAGCAGTGGAAGCAAGTGGAGCTCTCAACCGACGAGCTGCTGCAGGCTAAGACGCCGCTCCGCGTCCGCGGCAGCCCCGACCTCGCCGACGTGGTGTTTGTGGCCGAAAAGTCCCAAAAGCTCTTTACCTTTGACACGCACACGGGCCAGATGCACCCGTTCTTTTCACCCGACGCACCGTCCGTGCTGCTCAACGACGACGACGACGACGACCGGCCTGCGCGCATGCTCTTTGGGCGCGTCGACGTCACGACCAAGATGGTCAACGCGCTCGACACGACCGATTTCAAGTGCGTCACCGTGTCCGAGTACTTTGTGCAGTTTGCATCGCACGCTACGTGCCAGCGGGGTCCATCGCCGGCGCTGCGGAAGAGCCCGTACGTCGACGTCTCGCGCAGCGATGCCGGCACGTCGCTCTCGATTTACGACCCGCACTCGCATGCGCTGCTGTGGTCCTGGGACGCCAATGGTGCGCTCACCATGGTCTACGGCATGCTGCCCCACTACGGCGTCAAGTTTTACGACTGGTCGCTGACGCACAATGACGCATCCTACGACGAGGCGTGCCCGCTGAACGACGACGACGACGCCATCACCGATCTCGACAACGTCTGCGAGCCGAGCCCGACCAAAGACGACCTCGTCGTCGGCCGTGTCGCAGGACAAATGTACCTGCTGCCGTCGTCGCCGCCCCAACGCCCGACGTCCACGAAAAGTATCAACTATACTGGCCGGCGTCCGTGGCAGTCGGTCGTCATCGACGGCAAGCAAGGCGTCTTCATCTCGTCCAACAGCATGCTATGGATTTGCGTCGTGGCCGTCTCGGCGGCCCTCGGCATCGCTCTCTTGATGTACTACTGGCGAGCCAAGACGCCGTCACCGCCGTCGTCGCCGATGGCCGAGACCCCGGCACCACAGCCGGCGCCGCCCCGCATGTCGCCCAAAGGCTCGCCGACGGCGGCGTTCCTCGGCAGTCCGACGCTCTTTCGCATGCACACGGAGGACGACGTGCACTTGCCGTCGCTCGTGACCATGTCACCAGGGCGTATCCAGCGGTCGGTCTCGTTTGGCGGCTTTCCGTTGGAGCCATCGAAGTGGAAGATGCCAGAGCTCAAGCTCGGCCACCGCCTCTCGACGGAAGAGTCGGAGGCGTCGCAGCGGTCGGCCCAGAGCGACAACTCGCGCCCGATCGGAACGCCGCCCACGTCCAGCACGTCGTTGACACCGATGACACCGACGCTGACACCGATGACACCGACGCTAACGCCGATGACACCGACGCTAACGACAACGGTTGTTCTGGACGCAGACTTTCGCAAGGTTTTGCCGTACATTTGCCGCGGCCGGTTCGCGAACGAGTTTGACGAGCTCTCGGTCCTTGGCAAGGGCGGGTTTGGCCAAGTCATTCTGGCCGAGAACCGATTGGACGGTCGTCGCTATGCCGTCAAGCGCATCGGTCTTTGCCTCAAGCACCAGACCAAAGAGACGCTCGAAAAGGTACCTCGCTCGATGCACCGAATGCCACGGCGTCGTGACGACCTATCATCGTTCTAGTTTCTGCGTGAAGTCAAGATCCTCGCTCGCCTCGACCATTCGTACATTGTGCGCTACTACCAGGTAGAGATACCGTCGTTTTTGCGGCATGGTTTGACATGTCCGTAGGCGTGGCTCGAAGAACTCGACGAGGCCGACTCGGTGAGCTTTGCCGCAAGCTCCGAAGACGCGTCGAGCCCGCGCTGGATGTCGTCGACGACCGACTACTCGAAAGGGAACATTCTCCAGCGCCGCTTTTCATCCGACGACGACGACGACTCGCCGACGACCCGAAAGCGCTCGAAGCGAACGACGTTCTTCCATATTGGCGACGACGACGATGACGACGACGATGCGAGTCGCGACTCGTTGTTTGCTCCGGCGCCGCACCTCCACGACGACGACGATGGTGGCTTTGAGTGGGAGGCCAGTCCCGACGACGACGACGACAACAATGACGCGTCGGCGTCGATGGCGCAGTGGTCGGAGAGTGACCTCACGCGCCCAACGCACGAGCCGCGGTCGGCGGTGCTCGACACGCTCCGGTCCACGACTAACGAGCGCGTCGACCACTGGTTGTACATTCAGATGCAATATTGCTCGGCCAAGAGCCTCGCCGATGTCCTTGCGAGCACTGACCGGATCGTCGACGTGCCGCATGTGCTCCGCGTGTTTAGTCAGATCGCGTCGGCGCTCGAGCACGTGCATTCGCTCGGTCTCATCCACCGCGACCTCAAGCCGGCCAACATCTTTGTCATGGACGAGGCCGTGCAAACAATCAAGCTCGGCGACTTTGGCCTTTCCCGGTACGCTGGTAGCACGGGTCTTCCTGATGCCACCGGCTCGTCGACGACGACACTGCTCGATGAAGACGACGACGACGACGACGAAAAGACGGCTGGCGTCGGCACGTACCTCTATGCAAGTCCCGAGCAAATCTCGGGCGAGCTCTACTCGGCCAAAGCCGACCTCTACTCGCTGGGCATGATCCTCTTTGAGCTCGGGCACGCGCCGTTTGGGACCGCCATGGAGCGCATCGTGACGCTGCGGCAGGTGCGCGACGGGAGTATCCCGCCCGAGTGGCTGCCGCAGAGTCCAGAGATTGTGGCCTTGGTGCGCCGCCTCGTGTCGCTCTCGCCCGCCGAGCGCCCAACGGCCAAAGATGTGGTGCAGTGGTGCCACGCGCAGACCAAAGCCAAGCGCCGGTTCGACGCCAACGTCCATTTGCTCCAGGTACAAGCTACCGTCATGGAGGACCCGACGTTGTACCACAATTTGCTCTTGGCGCTCTGCGAAGTCATCCGCGCCACGAGCGCCAACGTGTGCATTCTCGCGTGCGGCCTCCAGCAGCACAGCACCCGCGGCCAGCTCCTCGAGTTTTCGCTGCAGGCGGACGACGACAGCACGATCGACGACGTGCTCAACGCGATTGCCCTTGTCGACGGCGTCGCCAGTGTTGAAAAGCTCCACTGATCCAGACCCGAGTGCCGTACAGTTAACTTAAAAAACGCAAGAAAAGACCATGCGGACGCAAGGGATCGAACCTTGGGCCGATGGGGTGTCTCGTTCGGCTCGTGTTGTGTGAGAAAGAAAAGAATGGGCGTCGAGACAGGAGACTCTGACTTGTCTTGATAGAGATGCCAGGTCGTCTTTTAGACGATGTGGACATTAAGACACTAGCTAGTCGATCGTGCTCCTCGTAGCTACTACCGCCCTTGGCCTTTCCCTTGGGCCGAATGTGGCCTATCTCGACGATTTTCTGGTGGCACCATCGAATGGAAGCGAGATAGAGGGGACAAAAGACCATGTATTGAGGGATTGCAAGTGCTTGCGACACCGCCTATCTATCGCTTCTGCAGTGGTGGAGGTGCTGTTGGCCTCGCGCCCAGCGATAACGGATGTCGATGGTTACCTCACGACTTCAATTTGGCTCGCGGGCACAACCGTTCGCGTTTGAACGGTCCAGTCGAGTTTTGCAAGGCGCGACACCAGCAGTCCGATTTTGACAAACTCTCCGACCGCATTGGCTGCCCAGTACCCACGCAGTGCGTAGTGCCACTCCACCACGCAGAGGTAGGTGAGCGGAATAAAGAGCAGCCACGCGCCGGCATTGTTCACGAGCAGCGCGTACCGAGAGAGCTCGACAGCGTTGGCGCTCGAGCTCAGTAGAAAGCGGAAGAAGATAAGGCTGATGCAGATCGCAAACGGCAGCAAGGCGCCTTGGCAGAGGTCAAGCACGGCGTGGTCGGACGTCCAGAGACGAAAGACCGCGGTATGCACTGCTACCAAGACACTCAAAAGCAGCGTCACCATCACGGCCATGAGGTAGATCCCAAGCAGAAGGAACGCTTTTGCTTCGGGCATGCTCCCGACGCCGATGCTGCGGGCCATGAAGATTTGGGTCGCAGCCGAGAAGCCGCTCACACATGCGTACACGACACCAAAGAGGCCGAAGAGGACGGCATTCGCGGCAGAATACGCCGGATCCAGCGTTCCGAGCACCATGCCGGCGACGGTCAAGCTCGCCCAGTCGACGGCGGACGAGGCACCCAAAGGCAGCGCCAGCGCCAGAAACTTTTTCCAATGCTCCCGATCGACGGCGACACGGGTCCAGCCACCCCAGTACGGCAAGTGGTAGCGCCGCCACCCCATCGTGTAGACAACGAAGAGAAGCAGTTGTATGCACGAGCTTACGACGGTCGCGAGCGGCGAGCCAAGAAACCCGACGCCCGCCCACGTGCCTTGGATGCCATAGATAAACACTTGGTTGAGAACGACATTGAGCGCCATGGCGACGATGCTCGTGCTCGTCGCCGACTGCACGACGTTGATTGTTGCAAAATACGCTGTGAGGCAGGCGTACAGGTACCGTGGAATGAGACCGGTTGCGAGCACGTCTCCGTAGAGCTGGCCGAACGCGATGGTCTCGTCGTCTCGCATGGAAAGGCCGACGAGGTCGCCCACAAAAAGGTGCACTAGCCCGACAGGAAGACACGCGGCCAGTGCAAACACGATGGACGTTTGCAGCCAGACGCCAATCTCCTTGTGGTGGCCGGCACCGTAAGCGTGCGACCCGAGGATCGTGATAGCGGGGATCGCATATTGCACAAAGTTGAACGGGACGTTGATCCAAAGGTTGGCGAGCGCGGCGCCTGCGAGCTCTTTGGTGCCGAGGTGACCGAGAAACGCCGTGTCGGTCACGAGCAGCACGCGCCGAACCATTTGGTTGACCGAGAGCTGGACCGCCATTGAGAGAAGCGCTCCGAGCGGCGACTGTACGCTGTCTCGTGTATTGCTCTCACTTGCGCTCTCGGGCGACGCCTTGGGCAGCAGGTTCGCAGCCTCGACGTCATCGACGCTTTTGCTCGCGCGCATACCGCGTCGCAAAGCTGTCGATGTCCGGGCTATTTTGGCGGGAATGGTTGGCCCTCAAATCTAGAGCTTTAGTACGAAACGCCTTTGCAACCTTGCTTGAGGACCAAGCCATATAACACCCGGGTCCCACAATTGATCTTTCGCCGGAGGTATTTTGGAGCGCATCTAAAGTCTACGCGAACACTGAACCCTCGATACATTATATCGCCCATTCATTCTCTGCATACAATTCGGAACCATGGAATCCAGAGTCAACCCGTATAGTAGACGCGTCCATGCAGCGTCTGGATCACATTGTGTCGAATCCAGCGCATGAGAGGACAATGATCCAGAGTTTCAGAGTGTGATGGCCCTCGACTGCCTCTCCGACCCACGGAACACAGCTGGGTTCGTCATATGTTGCATGCATGAGGTCCGATCCATTGAATGGGACGGCCAGGAAGCGCTCATTTTCCAATTTCCACCATGAAGACCATGATCAAGACCACCGTCTGCGCTCTCGCCGTGCTCCAGTGCATCGACTCGACGACGGCCGCCAGCGAGACCCAGAACCTGCGCGCCACGTGGGGCGGCGGTGGTGGTGGCATCGACCTCGGCGGCGCCATCAGCAGCCTCGTCCAAAACTGCCTCAACGGCTACGGTCTCTTCAACGGCGGCGGCGGTGGCGGCGGCGGCGGCTGGGGCGGCAACAACAACAACAACGGCGGCAACAACAACAACAACAACGGCGGCGGCGGCGGCTGGGCCTAAGCATCTCTCATCGTCGTCTCGTGCATCGTCAATATCTACTTTGTCAATACAAGTCTTTTCTTCTATCCATCTCGCTTCTACTCGACTTTGCCAGCTTCTACGCCTCGACTTTTGACGCTGCGAGCCAGTGTCGAGCTTTTGCCTTTGTCCAGCGCCTTTGCACTGTCGTGTACTCTCGCTCGCCAACAC